TCTAAACTCTCTGAACTGAATGTCACCATAGTTGCATTACGATATGACTGTCTCCAGTGATAACTTTGTATGTAAATAAACTGCTACTGAAAGGTTTATATTTTCTTGTGAAAAATGGTCATGTCTTTGTGTAACACATGTGACTTCAGAGGTTTTAGCAAAGGGCACCATGGCAGATAGGACTTGAAATACAACAAGAAATTCAACAGAAGAAATTCAACACTTGTAACGAAGCTGTTATCTCAAAAGCACAGGCAAGGTAAGGTAATGCTTTCTGAAAGTTTTCTGATCAATAATTGGCTGACAGTGGCTCAACGTCTAATCATGGAAGATTAAAAAGTATACTTCAATTTAAAAGAATACCCTTCTAAATAAAAAAATATATAAACTGGCAATTAGACTAAGCACGGAGCTGCACTGTACCTTGGTAGTCAGCATATTACAAATTAGTTATTGATAGAAAAACACATTGTATGTGGCTTATTTCCCTACAGAATATATTTATTTTCATGATGGAGTCATCTAGACATTTTTTTCATGAATTCTTAAAGCCAAAAATACTGCTGTTTGAGAGCCACCATCATCACTGCTGGTCATAGCAAAAAGTTACAAAATACTGAGCATGTTCCCCCAACACGTCTCTGCACCATGACTGAGGGGTCAGACAAGGGTGGGCAGTAGATGGATTGAGGAAGGAGGGAGCTTGGATTGTCTTTTATCTGCAACACTCCTGGCAAAAGAAGTGCACTTTTAATCCAATTGATTTAGATACAATCACTTCAGGAAGCTACTAAAGCCATGCTTGTCAGGCTGGCTATAAAATGCCCTGCTGTGCAAATCACTTCTAATGTCCTCTGTGGCTGTATCATGGAAGAGCATGAGAGAGATTGCAGGCACACATGCAAAATATGCATACAGTCACATGTGCTCTGGATTAGTCGCCACCAAATTAATATAAATTATACAGTATATATACATTTTTAAATCATCTTCACAGCCTGTAATAGACCTGAAAAAAGTGAGTGTACAGCAAAATTTGACATACAGCTAGCAGGCATACTACCAAATGAGCATTTCAGTGGTAGAGCTGTTATTACTTTCCTTAAAGGTAACTGATTGTCTATGAAAGCTGTTTTCATGGGATCACTCTGGAAAACAGACCCAACCTTCAGTAAAGGCAGGGGGATTTCTAAAGCAGAGGCAGAGATCTCATTTAAAGAGCAACTTATGTTCCACAGCTTAGCCTTAGCAAACGACATCTCATGAAGTGAATCGATGCTTTGCAGCAGTACTAATTTAACAAAACAGCCTGCAGACTCACATGAATGGCTCTATAGCGCCTTTCTAGTCTTTTCGACCATTTAAAGTGCTTTTACACTACATCCACCATTTATACACTGAGCCTAAGTGCTCAAACATTAACACGCATTCATATAGGCGGCAACTCAGGGTTCAGGATCTTTGACACGCAGCCTGGAGGAGCCAGGGACTGAACCGCTGACCTTCTGATTAACAGGGAACCTGTTCTACCTCCTGAGCCACAGGGACCCCTATACCTTTAGGGTCAAAGACTATTAACTCAAAAAGACATGAACATTTAAAGAACATAACGTTGCTGTGCAATCTTTAATTCTTCTACAACAGCCTTTAATTTCCCACGTATGTCTTGCTCAGCATGTGGAAAAGAAATATGCTGTGGGATGGCGATCAGGTAGTCAGATGTGCATACTAATACAATGAGTACGGGGTAAAAAGGCTGAGAGATGGAGTACGACACATGAACGTCAGATGGCTTAAGACAGGGTGCGTCCTTGAAGAAAGCATTGGGGGTGCACAGCAGTTAATCAAGCATATGAAACACACAAGACATGCTGCCACAAAGACACAGCAGGCCACATATGTCCCTGGAGATAGATGATACCAGATGTGAGATCCCTTTGCTATTTCCTCAAAGAGACTGTTCATTTAATGTGTTGTGTAAAACATTATTTATACAGGTAGCAGGAACATAAGGGACTGGACCCAAACACAGATGCCAGAGGCAGAGCTTGAAGCAGTTCAATGACTGATTACAAAAACAAAAGGTTGGCGAAGCAGGTAGAGGTCAAAACCAGAGAAGGCAGTCCAAACAGGCAAACTAATCCAAAGTAAAGTATTTAATATTTGAGTACATTTGAGTATGAAATGCCATATTCACATAGCAACATAACATGTAGAAGGATGTGTGGGGAAACTACTATAGTAGTGCAAGCCTAAACATGTTCACTTGACGCGACATGACGGTGATGTCCAAACTGTGTTTTCTGCGGGCTTTGGATTGGAGATTAGACTTCAATGAAAGCTAGCAATGAGAAATGGAATTTGCTGTGACTAGCGTCATTGTTGCATTACCGGTGTTAAGTGATTGGAGCGTTTTCCTTGGAATGTGACATCACATGAAAACTATGAATACCTGAGTCAGGTACAGAACAGAACACCTGGAGCTGGTCAGAGATCAGAGTTTTTACACTTCCACAGGGAGGAAGCATGCAGACAATTGAGTTTGAAAACAAGAATTTGGTGGAAGAACAGCATTCCTGTACACCAGAATACCCCGCTGCCTCCGAAATTAGCAGGAGTGATACATTGTTCAGCGTCTGTCAAAGTAGTGGAGGAGACAAGAGAAGCTGTTAAACACTTCTCCCTCCGTCTCCTAAAGCAGACCATGCTTGTGGTGTCCACCAACACCTGCCCACAATGTAACAGCCCACCCTAATGTAATAAAAGTAAATGCTATAAAGGCAATAATACAAGTCAATAATGAAATCAAATCCTGGAACAGTCACACTATATTGTTTTTGCCAGTAATCCAATAATGTGTCCAGGTAAAGCAACACTGGACTCGACTGGATACTCCACTGTGTCTGTAACTTTTCTAATAAAAATGATGTGTCAGTATTCAATAATGTTTTAAATAATGAACTTACAAAAACAACAGCGACACAGTGGATCCATTATCTGGTTTCAGACCTCATTAAATCAGGAGGAACAGGCAGGGTAACTGGGCTGGGGATTATGCTGTAACAACTGCACTTCTCTCCCTGCTTATCAAAAATAATTCAGGCCACCTATCAGGGCAGCTGACACACCCTCTATGACTCTTTACATGTAATGCAAGTATGAAAGATGCTATGTTAAAAGTCGGGGATGTGTCATACATACCTACATGTAATAATGAGTTTTTATACGTACGTAAAATGTAAGAGGCAGAGGTCAGTGTTGTGTTTCTTGTAGAGATGAAATGAGCTGCAGTTTTGGATTGAATATTGAAACAGCATGTAACTACCAGTGTCTATCAGTAAAAACTACTGAATGGCAATTTACTGATTACTAATTCAACAGTTAAAGACATTTCTTAACATTTCAGATTCTTCGTCTTTTTCTGTAAGTACAGCAGCAATGCGCAGTGATAATTTGCTGCAAATACTGTACTGTTGATGTAGAGAGTCTGTTCGGAGCTTTGGGGCAAAGAGGCAATTAATGACTGAGGCACCAAGAAAGAACTCAAGCTTGAGAAAGAGAAAGAATTAAGAAAGGGGTTCACACAGAAAGATCAAATACTCTGCTTGGTGACTATTTCAGAGCTTAACCAGAGAGGAAATATATGAACAGGATGTGAAGTGCATGGGGATTTTCCCTCTGCTCTGCACATGGCAATCAGAGAGAGCTCCTGAGAATCACACCCATAATTATCTCTCTAACAGTTTAATGAATTATAAAATTAAGGAACAAAACTCATGTTCTTGGTTCGTTCTCCTTTTAGGACAAAGTTAGACAAATCCAAAACATACACTTACTTATAGTGAGGCACTCCACTTTCTTTGCTGTTTTGGAGGCATTATTTTTGCAGAGTACTTTAAAATCATCCTATACAATTTCACTACTTAGTACTTCCAACAATGGCAGTAATGTGACATTTTTGCATGAAGTCATGTTTTAGCATAATGCATTGTGAGATAAAGCTTACAGTAAAAGCAAGTGCAGCATGGTGTGGCTGCTATACACAGATAACCAAAAACAACTGCATTTTCTGCTTCATAAGCCCGCGCTCTCTTCTCCCTGCAACTCTCCTCTCTTAACCTCTCAAGCTTCACCTCCCACTCGCTGATTTAAGTAAAGATGACATGCCACACAGTTACAGGTCAAAATCTGTGATTGAAATGTTGCAGCTTGGACAGTGGAGAGGACAGAACTGCAAGGTGTCCTTCCTGTAACCAGGTGAAATAGACAAACCTTTCACTTAGGATCACCGTCATCATCATTGTCATCACAGTAAAACTTTTATCCACCCATGCTGAGATGTTAATATCTACATCAAACGTCACTGTATATTGTCAACAATTAGTAACTTAACTTCTTTAAGATAATAGTGAGCCGTGCAATGGAAAATGGTATGTACTAGTTTTCCGACCACTCATCACTTTACACTACATGTCACATTCACACACTGATCGCATAGGCTGCCGTGCAAGGTGCAAACTGCTTACCAGAAACAGAAACTAGTCACTCAAACACACTGACACACCAACTGAGCGGTTCACTATCTTGAGGACAGTGGTGCGGGGATCAAACCGCCAAGCTTCTGATTATTGGGTGACCCGATCTTCCTCCTGAGCCACAGCCGACCCAAGAACTACAAGTATTTTTATAAAAAAATACTTTTTGATATCACCATAGTTTCAGTTCTGAAATTTACTGTGACAGGTATGAGTAAACTGTGGATTTAACGGATGATGTGGGCGGTTGGTTCACACTATAGATGAAATGTAGCTTTATTTAGTTTTTATAAAACACATTTTCCATAAGCAATATAGCGGCACTACAGGATTATCATCGCTGTGAGAGGTGTTTACCATTAAAAGGTCAAGACAGTTTCCCTCAGTATGCCATGAGCACAGTTCCTCCGACTGTCATCTCAAAATCCTCCATAAAGTAAAAAAGTAAAAAGAGATTTTCCTGACCTGTCCTGTGACTGCTCCTCATACATCCTCTCCTTTCCCTCTTTGAAAAGCCGGATGGCCCGTTTGGATTTCTTCATAAGGCTATCGATGTATATTTTAAAGTACTCATTCTCACTGAGCTGTGTGAGTCTCTGGTTCTCTTCATATTTGCCCAGTACAAGCCGCAGGTGCTGGTAGGCATCAGGTAAGATATCAAGGATGTACGGTGGACTGTTTTTCAGCTGAAGTCTGGGATTTTGGCAGAGGCGGACCTATGGAAAAATAAATCTATTAATGAATGCTTGCTTGATGCATCAACATTTAGTTGTATTTACAACGTGACAAACAGTGAGCTAGTGTTCTGTCGATTTATGCTACCTATCGAGATGTGCTACTTAGCGGTTCTGCGCATGCTCACGACCAATAAGTGTGGTCTGTTTCCACGGCCATAAATCTATGCAATCTTGCTGTTGGGTATGCCGTCGAGACAGTGGCTGATCATCAGCAATATCATAAAAAAAAAATCAGAATATGCTACCCCTGATATCTTAAATAAAGATGGTATAATATAGTATTTCAACATGCTCCCCATCTCCGTACAGTACACATGGAGTGAGTAGTGGTGCAATATAAAATGATTCTGTAGTGGGAGCATTATTTGATGGGGGATATTAGTCTATCAGGATTCGCTACCCCTGAAAATATGTTATAATATAATCAAAAAACAGAAGAGAGTTATACCGTTATGGGATTGGAAATGGGAACACATAAGGTAGCATTTTTCGTTAGGACAGAGCGACTCGATAGACTCTGCTGTCGATTTGTGCTACGGTAGCACTTTTTGACAAGGCAGCATATATTGTCAGAACACCGGCATTTGACACAATAACCAAGTAGGATCTGTTGTGATGGAATCAAATATGCATTTGCTGATTATTAATGTGCCATCTTGAAAATGAAGCTCTAACTGTGCTCAAAGGCATACTCTAAGATTTCAGTAAGTTCAATAATGTAGAGTATTATGCAACACATCTCCTCCTGAGTATTATAAGTGTTCAGCCAACTTACTAGCAATGTTGCCGATATCTTAATTGAATATCTGGTTGAATTGGGTTTAACGATTCAATCTTCCGCTGTTCTTGGGCATATCATTTATGAGTTGTCATAGTATGACAGATATGTACCAGACAAGATGTGTAACAAAGGGATCAAACAAATACTTGAATTCATTTAACTCACGATTAGAAAATATGGTCAGGGAACACATGTGTACCCAATTAGCATTAGCTCCACCTCTCCATGTGCATCTACAACAATGACTGTTCCTGCTCCCATCTGGCAGACAGTCCTGATGGGTTTCTAAATCCAAACTCACAACTTTATCCATGAGTTTCCAGGTTTTCTCCACAGTCCGCCGGTCAGCAGCCGCTTGTTTTGGTGGCCCCACTGCATCCTGGATGGCATCAATGATGCCTAAAATCCGACCCTTACTTCGGTTCGGTCCACGTCCGCCAGGGTTTCGACCACTGAGAGCAGTTGCCATTTCCTATACACTGAGGGGAAAAAAGAAATGATCACAGTCAGTAGGCCAAATTTCTGTCACCTACTGAACCCATATGGGAAATAATACGTGTTTTAGTTTTAGACAATGCCCTGTTGAATAATACAAATTTCTGTTTGAGAAAAAAACTCAGAATACTTTTTATTTACAAGAGCTTATTTGCTAATGAATAGGCTACCTAGGTGTGTCCTCATCAGAATGTAATTCTCCTTCACATACAGAGTAGCCTTTACAAAATCACAACTTATTCAAATTTTTTTAACTGAGTGGGTTTTGTTGTTGTGTGCATGGCTGGTCAGCTTAACTCCTGCTTTAATTCATGCTATTGTCTTTACCCAGGAGTGTGATTATCCACTGATACTTATGTCATTTTCACACATTTTTCATAACCAAACTGTGAAACTTACCAGATTACACGACACAAACTGCTAATTCTACTCAGCCTTTTTCGTTTTCTGGTTTGATTGATCTTAAGGATTAGTTTCAAGTTATCACTGCTTATGCTGTGATCTATTCTTAAGTGCTGCTAGTACTGCTTGAAAGGTGACCTGATGTTTCTGGAGTGTATCCATCATTAAAGTGGCATCCTATAACCATACACTATAACCTATATTGTTGCCTGTGGGCTGATTTTATGAGCGACTCAGCCAACACAAATCCTAACTTACCAAACCACCGGGAATGTCTGCTGGGATCCCTGCTGAACTCGGTACACATCCAGCGCACAAAAATGAAGGAGTGTCCCAGTGTCCAGAAGAAAAGCGTGGTAGGAAAAGTATCCGGTGTGTGTAATCCTCTTATTTCACCACACACCCTCCATGTTTTATAGACGTCTAATAAAAGCTGTTCCAGTTTCTGTCGAAGGAGTTGGGTAAACGCGAAGCTGGGAGGTCTGTACAGTATGTTTTGTACGGCGACAACCATGTAAAGTTAGCGACTATTAAAAAAAGTCACATCCAGTAGCACATTTCAAAATAAAGCCTCCACGAACAAAATGGTTTACATTACAATGTACAATATAAATTTATTGAACATGTATTGAACAACTAAGTATTTTAAGCGAACTGAGTTGTTCTAATAGCCCTGAGTAGTCATTTGTCCGTTACACCAAATAGTGGTACATTTTCTTCCTTTACTTTGAAGGAAGGCTGGGGATTTCCTGTGCTGTCTGCGTTCTGGCTGACCTGATGCAGCTGTTTCAGCGGTAGGAGGGTCAATGGGAATATGAAGCAATATTTTCCAGGAAGCGACCGACGCAATGAAAGGAGCGATCAGAACGCTCTGTGAAGATGTCATTGCTCAGAAAGAACAGCGAGCTCTCCAGGTTAAACCCTGTTTGATGATCCCAGGGGATAAAGTTGACCTGACTAGACTTGTTCCTATAAACATTTGTGCCAGAATTCCACTTACAAAGGCAATGTATGATTCTCTTCACCTTCCAAAACTTCGACAGTTCATGCTTTTATTTTGGATGTGAAATGGTCTAACTTCCGGTGTTATTACGTTATACTGGAGTCCTGACGCAGCCACAGAGGAGAGGGGCAGGAGAAGGGCCACTCCCAGAGAAATCCACACAGCTCTGTTCGGTCTGAACAAACAAGCAGCGATGTCCCGGAAATGACACAGGAAGCAGTGCGGGATTTAACGGTTTTAACCGGCTGTGAAGAAAACAATTACTACTACAGTTATTTAGTAGTAATTACAATACAAGTATCATAATAAACAAGTACAAGTAATACAGTTTAGAAAGCTTGCCCTGTGTAAGCTATATAATATCAAAAACATAAAACATGCAATCCGGACTTTACTAATCTTTTACTTAAATTTATTTTTGCATTTACATGATTTACATGGACACGCCTGTTCCAGAACAACACAAAGATTTCTGATGTAATTTGAAGTATTTAACATTAGGGCTGCCTTTTAGTACCAAAAGCAATTGTTGTAGTTTTCTTCTTTTCAACTGGAGAAAACTCTGGCACATCTAATCATTGATTTGTTCAGTGATTTTATTAGTCCATAATCATCTGGATATATTGTTGTGTAGCCTAAATCTGCGTGTCATCCACATAATTATGGTAGGATATTGTGTTGTTTTCCAGAATGTGAGCTAGTGGTAGCATATAGATGTTGAATAGGACTGGACCAAGACTGTAATGACCAATTAACACAAAATTGTCTTGCAAACCAGTAAAGGGTTGTACCAGATAGTCCCACCCAGTTTTCCAGTAATATCCTGTGGTCTGCTGTGTTAAACGCAGCACTGAGGTCCAGCTGTACTAACACAGACGTTGTCTGTATTTAAATAGATGTCGTTTAAGACTGTGAGTCTAAGGGTGCTTTCACACCTGGATCGATTGGAGACGTTGTGCCGAAACAAGGGGGCGTTTCCCTTCTTCCACTGGTGAAGAAAGTTTTCCGATATTAAAAGTAGCAAAAGTAGCAACACTGCATTATGACAACATTCCATTCCAAGTAAGAGTTCTGCATTGAAAGTTTAATTTACATGAAAGTAAAATTACTATTATCACAATGTACTTAAAGTATTAAAAGTTACTGTGTCTCTTTGAGTGATATACTATTAGATTTAACCAAAACAAAGAAATGTTATCACATCACCCCTGTTAGCTTCATTACACTGTACACTGTACACGGCTCCCAGTATGTTTTAGAATAGATTTAAAAATGTTATTGATTACTTTTAAAGCTCTTGATGGTCTCTCTCTGCTATATCTCTGATCTTTTAGTCCTATATGCACAGGCACGTACCTTGAGATCCTCAGGCTGAGGTCTGTTGTCTGTTCCAAAGGCCCGACTTAAGTTAAGGGGGTAGAGCGTTTGCAGTTAGAGCCCCAGGGTCTGGAACAGCCTGCCCGAAGAAATCTGCTCAGCTGAGTCAGTGAACTTCTGTAAGTCCCTTTCATAAAACATACTTTTGTAGGAGAGCTTTTCCTGATTTTAGTTGACTTTATATTTCTTTTCTTTTTTATTTTATTTTAATTCCTTAAAAATGTTTTCTTGTTTTATCTGTGTTATCTTAAAATTCGATGGTTTAATGACTTGTCTGTTTTGTTTTCTGCCTTTGTGAAAGCACTTTGTAACATGGATTTTGAAAAATAAGTGAAAAATTTATTGTTTATTTGTCAGACACAATGCAGAAGAAACACATTGTAACAGGTTACAATAACTTGGGACAAATGTGATGCATATAGGGTTTCTAGCCCAAGCTAATTTGCGACCCCTGTCCCTGGTTAGTCTACACACATCACCATTACCAAAAAACTTCTCTGCCTGCACAAGCGCATGATCAGTGATCAATGATCACAGGTTTGGTTTGGGTACAGCTGGTGTTTCACCTTTTCATTAAATATTTTCAGAATAGTATGTGTTTTTATTTCGGTTGGTAGGGCATTCCAAAAATATATCCCTTTAAAGGTTAAATAAATATGTGAGTTTTAGTGACATCTAGTGGTGAGGGTTGCGAATTGCACACCCCCTCTACTACCCAAGGAAGTAGTTTCACTATGGTGCCTGAGACAGGACAAAGATGTCATCTATGAGATAGCAGAGAGTTAACAGTCAAGAAATGATGATTATTTAGATAAATATATTAAGAAATTATATTTACTTAATTATGCTGTAAAACTATATGTTTTATTGAATATTATTGTTACTTTATTTCATTAATAAATAACAGCCAAATCCAGAAATGAAGTGCTACATGATGTCTCGTACTCCTGTAATACAGTATTTTACATATTGGGAGTGTTGGCTCATCTGGACTAACATGCCAAAGTAAATGAACAACTCAAAAACTATCACATCTAGTGCATCAAGTATGACCACTGACAGATAACAGGACAATGTAAGCCTCACTGTTTCTGCACCACAGTCCATTATAAACCACATAATGCATGAAGTTTACAAATGCATTGTCAAGTGAGAATCAAAGCTCCTCTCACTTTGCTCCTTTCACTTCAGCTTGTGGTAAAATGGTGCAACATTTTTAATGGGCATTTAGCATGTGAAAGTACAAATTACACCTTTGTGTGCACAGTGGGAAGCAATATCCAACAAGTTTTTTTAATGCAAATTCAGAAAGTATTTATTATTGGTCACTTGATAGGCACACGGTCCGGTTATATATCACCATTAGCAGTAAAAAGAAATACATGTTTTCCACCAGGGCAGTAAAATGTGAAGTTTAACTGCTGATCTGAGTTTCCCTGCTGGTACCGTTTTATTTCCAAGAATATTCATCAGCTGTTTGACTTACGAAGGTAACGGTACATTTCTGTCCATGTAACAAAGCCATAACAAAGCGCTTGAGAATAACTACATGAAATTACAATCCAACTACATATTTTTCTGAGTTTCAATGCTGGAAGCTGCCTTTTATTGCCAATTAGTGATCAGCTGATTGTCTCAACATAACCGACAAAGCCAAGACAGAGCGCTGGAGAGAGTAACTACATAAAATTAATGCTACTACATATTTCACACCAATGACAGGGGAAACACCTCACAGCTCTCTGTGATTATGGCCAGCTTCAAGCTAAAGCTCTCAAACAACAGTTTTCATTTGCGTCGCTAAAGTCTGACAAACTTAAGTTAATTACCTGTCCAGCAGAAAACAGACAACTTCAGCACCGCTTTGAAAACATCTGTCCCACATTATAGCCTTCCATCTGGGAAAATCCACATCCATGATTTCTGCCGTCAGCTGTCTGTATTTGTCCCGACTCCGTCTGCCTTAAATATTGTGATTATTATTATATTTATTATTATTATTAGTGCAATGCCCGTTCACAGTGCCAGTGTGACATATCCCTTTGCTTTTTGTTCAAAATGTGTGTCTCACGTTGGTTTCACCTACAACAGTGGCACTAAATACATTAGTGCTGGGCAATGATTAAAATTTTAAATCAAGATTAATTGCATAGTTATGACAAAATTGAATAATGAATTCTAAAGTAGTGAATTGCGTATGTTTAATTTAAATGTACTGACATATACAATGTGGTTTGCAAACACATCAAACAAATAAGGTGATTCCGTTTCCACAGTAGCAATAAAATATTTCTTGTAAATCTCAACTTAAACATTAATGTAACCAAATCAAATATAAAACCAAAGTTATTTCCCACTGCCAGGGCAGTGTGCGATGCTGAATTTATCTGTGGGCCCCTATGTGGTCCCTGAAAAGAACCACTTTGGGGAAAAAAGTTGGAAGGTTGGGATTCAAGATTCTTGATCGTGTTGTCTGTGTGAGTCTTCTGGGTAAGTTTGAACCCATTTGGAGGTGAACTCAGAGATTTTTACATTAAAGGTCCTGAAAGGTGGAAGCTGGGTGCTTTATTCTTTTACATACTGAGCTGATGGGTTCCAGTGACCTGTTGCACTTTGGAGTCATATTAAGTCACTTTCTGTTGTGTTAGATATTAATACCACTTAGTAAGTTCCTTATAAATGCCAGTTAAAGGTTCAGTGTGTAATATATCTGAGGATCTATTGACAGAAATGCAATATAATATCCATAACTATGTTTTCAGTGGTGTATAGACCTTTGAACCATTATCTTTTTATTAACTTAGAATGAGCCATTTTTATCTACATAACCACAGGCACCCCCTTCAATGAATGTTGCTGTATTTTGTCGTGATGTTTCTACCATAGCCGACAACGAACAAACCAAGTATATCCAGCTAAAGCCCGCAGACCTGACAAATATGGTTTGTCCCAGAAGACACCGCTCACAAAACGTGATGACGTTAATCTCGGCTCATGTACAGTAAAGATCCTAATGCAAAGCGTTTTATTCTTTAGAGGCTAACAACAGAACTTTAAATACACTTATGAGAAATCAACTGTGTAGATTTCAGTTTTACGAAAATTGACGGCGAATCGAAAATGTGTTCAAACGTTTTCGG